ATTGCACATAAGAAAAACTGGAATAAATAAGTAAATATATTTAATAACAAATTATTACGAAATATGCTTTGCGTCACGAAATATGCTTTGCGTCACGAATTACGCTTTGCGTCACGAATTACGCTTTGCGTCACGAATTACGCTTTGCGTCACGAATTACGCTTTGCGTCACGAATTACGCTTTGCGTCACGAATTATGCTTTGCATCATGAATTATATTTTGCATCATGAATTAATTAACTATTACTAATTGATAAAAATCCTTATGAAATTTAGCTGGGGCCACTTCCACTTCAAATCCCCAGGACACGCAACAAGATTTTTAGGACTAGTGGGGCAGCACCCATTAGATGGCCCAGGAAATAGAAAGATGAAGTTCAGTATAGCAAGGCCAATAAACCAACCACTACCATCACTACTAATACATTCACCACCACAACAACAACTACCACAACAACAACTACCACAACAACAACTACCACAATCACAAGCACCACCACTACTACAAACACACTCACTACTTGCACTACTACAACAAGGACAACAATCACAATCACAATCACCACAACCATCATCACAACAATCACAATCACAATCACCACAACCATCATCACAACCACCACCATCATCACAACCATCATCACAACAATCACAATCACCACAACCATCATCACAACAACGACCATCACAACTACAACAACAACAATCACAATCACAATCACAATCACAATCATCACCACAATCACAACTACAGCAACAATCATCACAGCAACAATCACCAAAACAACAATTGCAATCAGAATCACAACTTCTTTCTCAATATAATTATGATGTAGTTAATAATAATGATGATGATGATGATGTTAATAATAATAATAGCAGTAGTAGTAGTAGTAGTAATAATAATAATAATAATAATAATAATAATAATAATAATAATAATAATAGTAGTAGTAGTAGTAGTAGTAGTAGTGATAATAATAATAATAGTAGTAGTAGTGATCATAATAATAATAATAATAATAGTAGTAGTAGTAGTGATAATAATAATAATAATAGTAGTAGTAGTAGTGATAATAATAATAATAATAGTAGTAGTAGTATTAGTAGTAATAATGATAATAATAATAATAGTAGTATTAGTAGTAGTAATAATAATAATAGTAGTAGTATTAGTAGTAGTAGTTAGCAATAATAATAGTAGTAGTATTGTTAATAATAATAATAGTAGTAGTAGTAGTAGTAGTAGTAATAGTAATAATAATAATAATAATAATGATAATAATAATAATAGTAATAGTAGTAATAATAAAAGAAAATTTGATGAAACAATAACATCACCATCAACATCAACATCTTCAACAACTTATAATACTATAGGTAGAAGGGTTGAGCATACCCTGTAATTGTTATAAATTTTATTAAATTCTTGAATATATATTTATCAATGATTTTTATTTTTGTCTAACATTATCTTACCTCTTCTTATATTTATAAAGAACTGAAACCTTTATCACCTTGTACATGCCAATGGTGACCCAAAAAGAAGAAATCGAAATAGAATATTGCTCTGCCACAAGCAAGCTTGTGTTAGTGGCAGACATAAAGAAGTTGGCAAAGATAGAGGGTAGTACAGTTGTTGATGATACTTTAGTTGGGAGGGCACGTACAGAAATTACATTGGACAGGTAAGATTTAAATTTTAAATATATTTATTTAAATAACAATATAACTTATGACTATTTTATTTATATATTTAAAAGTGGGTTTGAATATAAATTTGAAAAGGAAGATGTTGGATTTGAGCTCAAGGAAGGATTTCAAATTATTAAATTAAAAAAAATAAAAAGACAAAAAAATTAAATTTGAATAAAATAGTTGTTTTACCAAATGTATCCAGTGAATTTTCCCTTCTATATATATATATATATATATATATATATATAATGTATCATTATTTGTAATTTATAACATACAAATGATTATGTACTGGTACTAGCCAACCTTTGATTAATTAGGTCCATCTAAAACAATTTAAAAAACAAAATCTTCCCACTTAATAAGAATGTGAAATAAATAATAATAATTTTTTTTTTAAATTAATATTTATTTACTTTTATAATTAATATATTTTGGTATTTTTGTTGATAAGAACTTTCGTTGATAAGAACTTTTCCTTGCTTTGGTAATCTGAAATTGAAAGCTTTTTTCTATTACTACTTTATATGTCAGCCAACAAACAATAAATACTATTATATATAATTCAAGAAATTAAAGCTATATACCAAAGTTAATGAACTTACCTCAAACGCGCACAGCAAATAAATTGTAATTTTAGCTTTTGAATGCAATAAATCTATGCATTATGGTTAAGTATATAAGCCCACGGAAAATTCACTTTAAGATCTTTAGCTCCAAGATTTTTTTCACTTTCATTAATTAACCTTTCTTGAAATTTTTCTACAATATAAAGAATACAAAGAAGTACCATTGTGTGAAATCTGGTACCAATTAATACAATACAAGGGTATAAAATGTGGGGTTGAAGACATTCGGTTCGAAATTTTATTAATAAAATTTCAATGACGATCACCCCTAAATTTCGGAAAATACACTTCCCAATCGTTTTGCGTGACAAATCGTTTGACTACTATTTAAGAAATTGTATAGTAGTATATATGATTTAGATATGATTGACAAATAATAAAATAATAATTATTGATTTATTTGCATATGCATATATATTTTATTTATAGTGCAAGACACCACCAACACTGAATCTGTCACAATTACAAATGTTGCATACATGGATGATTGTGGTGTTCCATGGCTGTTGATCATCAAACATATGTTACATCAATATCCCATAAACCGTATTCACATGCCAAAAGTCTTATTTATTAATAATATCATAAGTCACAAATTTGTGACTTCTAC